CGGGGGGGGCTGGGGGGGTGGGGGGGGGGGCGCGGGGGGGGATGGGGTGGGCACGGGGGGACACTGGGGGTGATGGGGTGGGCACTGGGGGACACTGGGGGTGCTGGGGTGGGCACTGGGGGTGATGGGGTGGGCACTGGGGGGTTTCTGGGTGGACTGGGCAGCACTGGGATAGGGATGTGGCAGGCTGGGAACACGGGGATGGGCATGGGGGGAGCACAGGGCTCCTGGTCCCACATTTCCATCCCTCTCCTGTTTTCCTTTCCTTGGAGCTGCAATCTGCCACCAGAGATCTGCAGGACAGGGACACCCGGGCACAGGCTCTGTACAGAACTCTGTGTGAAGCCAGATGGGGACAGAATCCCCCCCCAGCAGCCCAGAACCCCCCAGGAGTGACACTCCCTGTGCCTGGAGAAGGCTTTTGGGTGTGGTTCCCCTCGCAGAGGTACCTTGGAGCTGACAGGAGAGCCTGAGCCACTGCTCCAGCCACGCTCGGCACTCGGCCTGGCCCAGGTGAGTGGAGTTCAGCCCCCGCAGGTAACAGGCCTGGGGAGACAGACACGGGCAGGGATGGACACACAGAGCTCCAGCACCACACCAGGATCCCCCTCAAGGAGGGGAAGAGAAGTCAGGAACTCCTCACACATCCCAGCGCGATCCCAGCGTGGAAAACGCTTCCCCACAAGAGAGCAACCTCGTGCCCTGAGGCCGTGCTGGTGACACCTGAGGTGACACCTGAGGTGACACAAGGCCAGGCCGGGTGTGCTGAGGTGTCCTCACCGCTCGCAGCTCCTCCTCAGAGAGCTGCCCCAGGCCCAGCTGCAGCAGGGCACGGTCCAGGTGTCGGATCTCCAGGACGTGGCTCCGCAGCCGGTGCCGCAGGAAAAAGGCCGGTAAATGTGGGGTCAGGAACAGCACCTGGCTCAGGGCTCTCTGAGGAGGACAGGGAAGGCACCTGGGACATGTCCAAGCCCTCCCAGAACAGGCCTGGGACCCATTCAGGCACTTCCACGTGCCCACGTGGCTCCAAGTCCCGTCCAACCCGGCCTCAAACACTTCCAGGGACGGGGAAATCCCTCCCAGTGCATTCCCACCCTCACAGGGAGGAATTCCTTCCCCAAATCCTCCTCTGGATTTATTCTCAGCAGCTCCACATCCTTCTAATGCCGGGGACCCCACAGTTGGAGGCAGCACTGCAGGTGGGGTCTCTCCTGAGCCCCTCTCACCTGCTGTGGGGATGAGCCCAGGACCCCCTGCAGCTCTTCAGCTGCATCTGGAGTGGTTTTGGGACACACCTGAGCCGAACTCACCACATGATCCACCTGGAGCCTGTTCAGCGCCAGCAGAGACCCAGAGAACAAACTCCTCACGGCCAAGAGCTGGGCCAGGTGTGGCCGAGCACCTCCCTGCACCTGCAGGAGCCCCGGGGGCGCAGGTGACACCCCTGACAGGTGACAACACCCCCCACAGCGCCCAGGGGTGGCAGCAGGAGGGGACAGACCTGGGCACAGAGCTGCTGCAGGAGCTGGCGGGGCTGGGGCTCGGGCAGGGAGCGCGCTGCCAGCGCCAGGCTCCGCAGCACGTCCCGGTACGAGTCCCTGCGGATGCAGTCGTACGCGTCCAGGAACTCCAGCTGCTGCTTGGGCGTCCAGAAGTAACGGATCAGGAGCTGCCGTGGGAAGAAATACCTGGGAAGAGGCAGGAGGTGGGATTCAGGGAGGGAATGGCAGCTCAGGCGGGCTCCAGGCTGTGGGAAGAGGCCAAGGGGCAGCACAGTTGAACCCAGGAGCTGCTGGCCATCGTTCCCAAAGGAATCGGGGAATCATCAAGGCTGGAGAAGTCTGTGGTCACCAAGTCCAGCAATGCCAAGGCCACCACTGACCATGTCCCCAAGTGCCACATCCACACAGCTGTGAAATCCCACCCTCCCAGGAATGGGGATCCCCCTGTCCTGGGCAGCCTGTGCCAAGACAGGACTGCCTTTTCCATGAGGAAGTTTCCCAAAAATCCAACCTAAAGCTCCCCTCAAGGCTATTTCCTCTGGTCCTGTCAGCTGGGAGCAGAGCCTGACCCCACCTGGCTGCCCTCTCCTGTCAGGGAGCTGTGGAGAGCAAGGAGGGCCCTCCTGAGCCTCCTTTCCTCCCCTCACATCCCCCAGCCTCTCCCAGTGCTCCAGCTCCAT